CGTGGGACTGGTCAGAAGCTGTGTGCACACGTGGACAGCAGTAACTTCAAAGAGGTGATGCTGCGATTATGAGAAGGAAGAACATGTAGTGGAAAACAGTGGCAATTATGGGAAGTCTTATTTCAGTAGCTCCAGGAAACAGAAGCACTCTCATCATCGAAAAGGGTTCAATAAGGCAGACAAAGGAGAAATGCTGGCTTTGATCAGTCTAACTTCAAGAAAAGGGAAGAGATTTAGACACGGTGATGAATGTTATGGAAATCAGTGCTGAAACCACAGATCGGGGGCTCAAGAGCATAATCCAACCCACAGCCTATTTTGTTTGGCTTAAATAGTATTTTTTAAATGGGATAATTTCAAATAAAAGTCTGGATTCCTGGCTTTCTTCAAAAACGTGAAGCCTGATAATGCTGGCTCTACAGTCCAATAAGGTTTTTAAAACATGCACACTCTTGGATCTACCAAGTTTGTGTGTGTACCATTAGCAGGGGCTTGGATAAACTATGGAACACTGTGCAGGCATTAAAAAGAATTAGAATTATATAAACATAAAAAGATTTTTTACATCCTTATTTAAAAAAGCAAATTGCTGAATAATGTATTGTGTGATCACATTAATGTTAAAAATTAAAACCATATGGTGATAGTACATAATATGTTGTGTAATGTATAATACAAAACATACATAGGCAGCTGCTACAGAAAACAGTATGGCAATTCCTCGAGAAATTAAACACGGAATTACCATATGATCTACCAATTCCACTTCTAGGCATCTCCAAAAGAACTATAGCTGGGGCTCAAAGAGAGCACACCCAAGTTCATAGCAGCATGACTCATTATTCACAACAGACAAAAGGGGAAGCAACCCAAGCATCCATGGACAGATGGATGGATAAACCAAATGTGGTCTGTGGAATACTATGCAGTCTTTAAAAAGGAGGGTAACTAACACAATGTCACAACATGGATGAATCTTGAAGACATTAGGTTGAGTTAAGCCAGTCCAAAATTGGTACACTGCAAGATAATAAATATTTTAAAATCAGTATTTTACATGGGTGGCTGGTTTCGGTTGTAATGTGGTCAATTTTGAACCGAAGTATTCCCTGGTCAACTCAAGGTCTTAGAGAACAAAGTGTAACTACTAGTTTTTGGCCTCTCCTGGATAGAAACCGTGCCGCTCCCCCTGTAGCTGGAAAACACAGCAGAGGCACTGTGCTATCGGATCTGACCTGGGAGTGAAGTGCAGGTAGGCACACCCCTGAGGCATTCTTACACAAAGCAACTGAACTTTGCCTTCAGCTCGGCACTTCCTCCTTGAGAAGGTTACTGGTTACTTGTCCCCAGATGTAGCCTACTCAGCAATCCTGTCTCATCCTATATAAAATGGGTAACAAAACCCTGTGCTGGCCAAATGAGACAACGCCGTGAAAGGGCCCAGCGAGGGCAGGCACCCGACAAGTCAGTCCCTGCCCCATCGGGTACGCATCATCATCCCAAAATCTCAAGCCACAGCCAAATCTCACAGACTTCCACTGACGTAAAGCAGGAGCACGGCTTTATTATGTCAGACCTAAGTAAATATGCCAGAGCACCGACTCAGGGGAAGATCTGAAGGTCTTCATTATAAACCACACCGACTCAAGTCTTGTGGCAGGAACATTTAGGAAAGCTCCAGGGATTTAATGCCACGAAGATTTTTAAATAAATATCAGTCCCTCCCTGAAGTTACAAAGGTTGTGATGACTCAAAGCACACAAGAGGAAACACTCCCAGTAACTGGCAGAGGCCAAGCTCAGGCCAGGCAGTTCATTGACCTGAACAAAATTAGCCGACTCATAGGCCAACTCCTAATGGTTAAAGAAATATAATTATTACTGTACCAAAAAAATTACAATTATTACTCTACCAAAGACATACTCTTCGAAGTCAAAAAAGATTTCTCTAAGCAAAGCTGACAGGAAAGTAAGCCTTTCTGCCAGTTTACAGAAACCTAGAAGGCCAACAAGATGGTAGATTTTTATAAGACACATGCCTCATGGACCCAACATGACATATAGTGACATTTCATGTCAATTTTGGCAATTCCTTTGTCAACTTTACATAATACTGTAGAAAAAAACTACTGATTGTCACACAGTAAAATTAACTTTTATTTACTTCTGATGTGTAGTTCTAAGGTTTTAAAAATGCATTCCCGGGGCACCTGGGTGGCTCAGTCGTCAAGCGCCTTGCTTGGGCTCATGTCATGATCCCAGGGTCCTGGGATCGAGCCCCACAACAGTCTCCCTGCTCGGCGGGAAGACTGCTTCTCCCTCTCCCACTCCCCCTGCTTGTGTTCCCTCTCTTGCTGTCTCTCTCTGTCAAAAAATAGATTAAAAAATCTTTAAAAAAAAAAAAAAATGCATTCCCACCACCACCTTCAGAGTACATAACAGTTCCATCACCCCAAAAAGCTCCATCCCCGCACCCTCCCCTGACTCCTGCCCTCTGGCAACCACTGACCTGGTCATGAGAATGTCACATTAAGAGAATCACACCTTTAAGCCTGGCTTCTTTCGCTCAACATAAAGCCTTGGAGATTCAACGCACGAGTTGCCTGTACCAAAACTTCCTGTTGCTGATGAGTAGGACTGCACAGCATGGCCGGACCCATTTGTTTAGTCACCTACTGAAGGATATTTTGGCTGTTTCCAGTTCTGGCTGTTACGAATACAACTGCTATGAACACTCAAGTACAGTCTTTGTGTGAACAAAAGTTTCACTGGGTAATTACCCTGGAGCAGCGCTGCCAGAGCACATGGTAAATGCATACTTAAGGCTGTGTGCCAGCCTGCATTCCCACCAGGCATGTGACACGCTTCCAGCTGCTTAGCATTCTTGTCAGCACTTAGTATTGTTGGTAACGCTTGTTTTAGCCATTCTAACAGGCATACGGTGATATATTATCATGGTTTTAATTTACTTAACCGTTTTAATGGACATGTCTTAAAAAAAAGTACACACTGCTTCATTCCCTTAGGGATCACTGAACATAAATTTTTCGGACTCAAAATCATCCTTGCAGAATAAACACTGTGCCACCCTCGGGGGCTACTCAAGCACACAGGATTGTTTTCCTGGTTCTTCCCGATAGGCCACAGAATTATGTCTGGTTTTTACAGCTGTTTTTTTTTTTAATCTTCTCCCTTACCAAGTGTCACTTCTTGCTATTAATGGCGCTCCTGACTCAGGCGACTTTCCTCTGCACCCTTCTCTCACGCTGAGTTTAGAAATGCGTTACCAAGCTTCTCAGAATCAAATCTGAGAAGGAGAGGATTTGATTCTCCAGTGAGGAAAAAGAAAGCTTTGTTTTTCCTTTTCAGGTCACTGTACCAAAACTTCCTGACCTCCCATTTGGCAGCTTAGAAATTTCTAGTAGCTAAATTTCTTAGACGCGTTCCAAAAAGGTGAGGCTGCCGGGTTAAGCGCGCACTGGGTAACCGAGCCCTGACCGTATCAATCTGTGCGACGGGCACTGTGCTCTGCTTCCGCACCAGGAGCTAAAAGCCTACCTAAAGCAAAACAGTCAGGTAAAAAATCATCTTGTGTCTGGAAGCCTCCGTGGGAGAAATCATCTCAAATCTAGTTTCCAAGCACTCACACACTGGTAAAAATTCTGAGCACCTAGTAGGTCAACCACACAGAGAGGTGCGAGATAAACGCACAGACGCTTCTTTACAGTCAGAAAAGAACTCAGGAGTTCTTTCAAAAGATAGAGACTGTGCACACCCTGAATCCAACCCTGCACAGCATTTACAGAGCTCCTTTGAAAGTCATTTGACCAGAAAGCTCATCCTGCCTTGTCGGTGCTAGTTTCCAGCTCCGAACACCTTTCCAAATATCCGGGAGGTGGACAGGCGCTGGCAGTCGCCGCCGCCGCCTCACCTCCCCGGGAGCCCGGGCTCCCGGGCAGAAAACGCCAGCGGCGCCAGGCTCTCACCCAAGGTCCCAGGGGGCCGGCTGTGCCTGGGCCAGGCCCACACACCGATCCCCGCTCTCGCAGCCGCCACGACCCGCACACTGAGAAGCCCTGTCACCAATCGCAACGGCACCGGGGCGGGACTTCCGCTACCACTTTCGGCTTTCCCACCACCATCTCCGCTCAGGCAGACAGGAAGGGTGAATTTCACAAACTTTGAGCTTAAGCACTTTCACGCAGAAATAATGGCAAACAGGTTGGAAGACACAGTGGCAGCAGCCAAAAAACCAAAACAGGCCCCCCAATTTTTAACGACAACAACGAAAAGGAAGCCATCAAAAGTGGAGTCGAGGGTCACTGATGCGCACGTTATCTCTGCAGGGGCTGCTGGGTCCTGAAGCCGCCCTTGGCCCCGGTTCAGCGAGGGCCCGTGCGCCACGGGGGCAGCGGAGCGGCCGGCGGCAGCAGCTCTGACGACCTGCGCAGGGACCTCGATCCTGGCGCCTCGGACGCACATCGCCTGTGCCCTGACTCGGAGCTACACGCTTCACGGCAGACGCTGCGAGCCCCAGGCGCCAGGCCACAGAACCAACAAAATGCCGTCGAGTCCAATCTGCAATTCCGCGAATTCTAACGCACACGGAAATCGGACCATTGCCCCCGACACTGCCATCTCAGCGGGAACCCGGACGCAGCCCTGCGTTCTCCAAAGCGGGGCCACCTCGGCAGGCCCTGGGCGGCGCGAGCCCGCGCGACGCGGCCCCCCTCGCCCCCGCTCGGGACCCCTTCCCGGCGCCACGCAGCCACTCGCCCGCACGGAAAACCTGTTGCTGTGCGGGCACGCCGCACGCGCGGGGGCATCCGGTGCAAGTTCAGGCCGGCGGCCCGCCCGCCCCGGGGAGGGACGGCACCCCCGCGAAGCCGGGCGGGGCGCCGCGCCCCGCGCGCCCGGGGCTCCAGGCCGCGCGTCCATCTTGCGGCGCCCGCGCCCTCTGACCCCGGCCCCGGCCCGCGCCCCGGCCCGCGCCCGCCGCACCTTGACGTGGAAGCGGATGAGCGCCAGGCGGATGCAGTGCGCCATGCAGACGGGCGGCAGGAACCAGACCTTGGGCGGCGGGGTGCCCTTGTTCTGGACATGGCTGACGATCTGCTGCGCCGTCTGGCGCTCGTTGCCCTGCCGCTTGACCCACTCGTGCAGCCGCGCCTTCTCGAGCGCGCCGTTGAAGAACACGAAGAGCTCGATGTTGCCGCCGAAGCAGGCCTTGGCCAGCGCGGCCAGGTAGCCGAGCATGTGGTTCCACTGGCCGCCGCTCACCCAGTCGGTGTAGAAGCCGCCGTAGAGGCGGTGCAGGCAGTTGTCGGCGTCCACCAGCAGGCGCAGCGGCGTGTGCGGGGGCCGCTGCCGCCCGCCGCCCACCAGGCTGCCCCGGGCCAGCTTCTGCAGCTCCACCGGCACCACGGCGCTCGGGCAGTGCTTCTCGATGTAGTCCTGGAAGCCCTGCACGCCCATGGCGGCGGCGGCGGCGGCGGGCGCGGGGCGGCGGGGCGGCGGGGCCGGGGGCGGCGGGGCCGGGGGCGGCGGGGCCGTGGCGCGGCCGGGGCGGCGGCGGGCTCTAGGGGGGGCCGGGGCGGGCCGCGGGCGCGCTCATGGCCGCTGCGGCCGCCATGTGCTGCCGCCTCCCAGGGCCATGGCGGGAGGGACCTGCGCCGTGCGCCGCTCGAGGCCCGGGCCAGGCTGAGGCGGCCTCGCGCGGGCGGCGGCGGCGGCGGCGGCGGGGCGGGGCGGGGCGGCGCAGGCTGACGCACGCGGGCCGGCGGAGGGCGGAAGAGGCGGTGCCGCGGCCTGCGGGGCCCGCGCCCAGTCCGGATCCCGGCCCCGGCGGGGGAGCGCGCCCGCCGGGAGAGGCAGCGCGAGCGGCCCGAGGGAGGGGGCGCCGGGACGGCCTCGCGGCGGCGGCTGTGGGTGCCGTCACCGCGGGGAGACCCCGTTCCGGTCCGCGGGCCCCGTCACCCTGAGGAGACCCCTTCCGGTCCGCGGGCCCCGTCACCGCGGGGAGACCCCGTCCCCGTCCGCGGGCCCCGTCACCCTGAGGAGACCCCCTCCGGTCCGCGGGCCCCGTCACCGCGGGGAGACCCCGTCCGCGGGCCCCGTCACCCTGAGGAGACCCCCTCCGGTCCACGGGCCACGTCCCCGTCCCCGGGTCCCGTCACCCTGAGGAGACCCCGTCCCCGTCCGCGGGCCCCGTCATCCTGAGGAGACCCCGTCCCCGTCCGCGGGCCCCGTCACCCTGAGGAGACCCCCTCCGGTCCACGGGCCACGTCCCCGTCCCCGGGTCCCGTCACCCTGAGGAGACCCCCGTCCCCGTCCGCGGGCCCCGTCACCCTGAGGAGACCCCCGTCCCCGTCCGCGGGCCCCGTCACCCTGAGGAGACCCCCGTCCCCGTCCGCGGGCCCCGTCACCCTGAGGAGACCCCCGTCCCCGTCCGCGGGCCCCGTCACCCTGAGGAGACCCCCGTCCCCGTCCGCGGGCCCCGTCACCCTGAGGAGACCCCCGTCCCCGTCCGCGGGCCCCGTCACCCTGAGGAGACCCCCGTCCCCGTCCGCGGGCCCCGTCACCCTGAGGAGACCCCCGTCCCCGTCCGCGGGCCCCGTCACCCTGAGGAGACCCCCGTCCCCGTCCGCGGGCCCCGTCACCCTGAGGAGACCCCCGTCCCCGTCCGCGGGCCCCGTCACCCTGAGGAGACCCCCGTCCCCGTCCGCGGGCCCCGTCACCCTGAGGAGACCCCCGTCCCCGTCCGCGGGCCCCGTCACCCTGAGGAGACCCCCGTCCCCGTCCGCGGGCCCCGTCACCGCGGGGAGACCCCCGTCCCCGTCCGCGGGCCCCGTCACCCTGAGGAGACCCCCGTCCCCGTCCGCGGGCCCCGTCACCCTGAGGAGACCCCCGTCCCCGTCCGCGGGCCCCGTCACCCTGAGGAGACCCCCGTCCCCGTCCGCGGGCCCCGTCACCCTGAGGAGACCCCCGTCCCCGTCCGCGGGCCCCGTCACCCTGAGGAGACCCCCGTCCCCGTCCGCGGGCCCCGTCACCCTGAGGAGACCCCCGTCCCCGTCCGCGGGCCCCGTCACCCTGAGGAGACCCCCGTCCCCGTCCGCGGGCCCCGTCACCCTGAGGAGACCCCCGTCCCCGTCCGCGGGCCCCGTCACCCTGAGGAGACCCCCGTCCCCGTCCGCGGGCCCCGTCACCCTGAGGAGACCCCCGTCCCCGTCCGCGGGCCCCGTCACCCTGAGGAGACCCCCGTCCCCGTCCGCGGGCCCCGTCACCCTGAGGAGACCCCCGTCCCCGTCCGCGGGCCCCGTCACCCTGAGGAGACCCCCGTCCCCGTCCGCGGGCCCCGTCACCCTGAGGAGACCCCCGTCCCCGTCCGCGGGCCCCGTCACCCTGAGGAGACCCCCGTCCCCGTCCGCGGGCCCCGTCACCCTGAGGAGACCCCCGTCCCCGTCCGCGGGCCCCGTCACCGCGGGGAGACCCCCGTCCCCGTCCGCGGGCCCCGTCACCCTGAGGAGACCCCGTCCCTCGGGTCCCCCCACCCGGAAAAGGCCGCGTCCCGACCCCGAAGCCGGTCAGCCCGCAGAGGGAAAGGCGGGCAGGCTGGTCCGGAGCTCGGGAGTCGGGGTGCGTCGGGCGGAGGGGCAGCAGATGGCACCGGTCCTTGCCGTGCCGCGTGTCCTCGGGGGTGGGTACCGGAGCTCGGAGATGAGCGCGTGCTAAGTGGTGACGGCGCTTTAGCTCGCTGGGGCACAGCCCCTCCGGACTCCGGGCGTCCCCAGACCGGGGTGCTCGCTGGGGGCCCTCGGGGGGAGCGGTGTGGGCCGCCACGCAGCGCCCCGGGCCGAGCCCGCTTCCCGCAGACGGGGCTGTGGCCCCCGCGCGCCGGGCGGAGCGGCGGCCTGTCGGGGTCACGGCCACAGCGGCGGGACCGTGGCTCCTCGCAGCGCCCGCCCTAGTCTGCTCCCACCGCGAGCCGCCTGCCTGGCTCCCCGGGGCTCGGCAGCGCCTCCGAGGACGGCGGGTTCAGCCCCTGCTGCTTTGGTGGCTTTGCCGCAATGGCTGTGAAACCGAGGGTAATCCTGGGTGTCTATCGTGCTTCAGGAAGACTCTTTAAAAGACGCATTAATGTCTTGCAGAACGGAGCATTTAGGAACCCTGAACTCGTAAGGAGAGTTGGGAAGGGGCATTTTTGCCTTCCTCCAGCCCTGCCATCTGCTCTTTTCTGAGGAACCCCCGCGGGGGAGCAGCCCGACAGCAGGTGCGGAGCAGAAGGAGCCGGCGCCCGTGCGGCTCCGAGAAGCCCCCGCCCTCTGTCCCCGGAAAGGCCAGTTGGATTTTTTTCACGCCTTTTCTTATAACTTCACCTCAGGTACAAGCCGGTGCGATACATACTTAAGTAAGATGCTCTTGGTATTTTGATAAGCATGTTCGATTTTTTAAAAACAGACTGTAGCGAGTTAAGCCGCTGCCCTGGCGCGGAACGAGTAACGAACCAGGATCGTGTGTTACTTAGAAGCGCAGTGAGCCGTTCACGGCCACATGAAGTGCGGACACCCCCGAAACACCCCCACTGCCTCTGCGACCCACTGCAGCCCCCAAGGTTGAGAAGAGGGATCGTTTCAGTCACTCACTGCGCTTTAATTTATAGCATTGCCTTCCGTGTATTTACCGTCTTTACTTTAAACATGCCCGTTTCTCATTTTGTAAATGCTTTAGCGCCAGAATCTGGGATTCGGGAATAAATTTTCACCTTAAGGCAGTGTGGCGTCTGTGGAGTAAGGTTCTGGAGTCAGACGGCCAAATCTGTGTCCTGCCAGCTCTGTGCCCTTGTCAAAATTGCTGCCTTTCCAGGCCTTGGGCTTTATCGTTTGTACGGTGAGGACGTCAATAGTACTTACCTCCCAGATTGTTGTAGGATTAAATGAGGTGATTTGTGTGCCTGCCACACAGCGAATACTCAGTAAATGTTGGCTCCTATATTTATTATTCCCACATAACTAATTATGTTGACTTTATGCTTGAGAACATGGACAAGTTATTTTACTGTTTAAAACTCTAAAATTTGTTTTCCTAAGTGTAAAACATAAAATTAATGTATGCTTACTCGCCCTATTTAGCTATGTGTTCACCTTTTTAAAAAAGCTCATTCTTTCATTTTTTTTTTTAACTAATATTATTAATGGCTGTCAAGATGTTTGGCTGACAAATATTTTATGTAATGTGCATCCTCAGCTCAAATTCAGGGGCTGGTTGAAGTAAAAAAAATTTTAATATCGTTATTTTTACAGTAAACATCTGCATTTAAAATTCAGTAAAAAATTATAATATATTCTTGGGTTCACAGCACATGGCAACTAATGATTGGGGACCTTCATATCCAATGACTTTATCCTTGGACAATCCACTTAGAGTGCATGATAAAACTTTTAATTTCACCAAGAGATTGTCACTCAAGTGAGGAAAAACTTTAAAAAATGCTAAAAAGGACATGGTCCTATGCTTCACAAAAATTACAAAATGAAATCTCAGGAAAAACATTGTGATTAATACACAAAGAGAACAAGCCCATGGTGTGCAAAAATTATCAGTAGGTGGAAAACCAATGACAGAAATACTATTTTCATCTCTTTTACGTTTCAGCCAATCTGTTATTGATCAATTCATCTACAGCTCAGAGTAGGAAAATATTGTCTTAGTTACATGACTCTTTCCAAAGTAAAGTGCTTTATAGTAGAATAACACCTTTGATTAATATTCTACTTAATTGAGGCTTCTATCTACCAGCAATAAAAGGTAAGGTTTCATTGTTTCAAGGAAGGTGGAAGGGAGCTCTGCTCCCACCCATATAATCACTAGCATATATTGGGAGAACAGCAGGCTGGAACAGCTAAGCATGGAATCTGTGACCTGAGCAGAGAACAGATTAATCCCTGCTTGGGATTTGAACCTATAATGTTTACCTTGCACTAAGGCTCTATCTAATCTGTTAATTGTCAACCTAAATGACCTGGAAGAGCACACAGGTATCTCTGCAGTCTTGAAGATTTTGTTGTTGCTGTTTTGGTATTCTGGAATCGGGAAGTGCTTTTCGTTTTTAGTTATGTGAATTAAAAGTCCTTTTTCTTCACAGGTGTGGATTTATTTTCTCTTTCAACCATAATTTTTAAAAACAGGTATAAAGTTATAGTTTTAAATTGTAAGTCCTGGGAAAATATAAGCAGATTTCTATAAATTCACATTTCTGGCACTCTTCAAGTACAGCGGGAGTTCCCAAATGCATGGCAACATTTTACATCGTCAGCTGGTGACCATCTCCGCTGAACAGCTGCTGCACTCTTTATCACCATACTTTTCCCTTCCCTATCTACAACAGTTGTTGGTGTCCATTCTTTCTGAAGTCTGCAAAGGACTTACTGCCTGTGTCCCCTCCCCACCACTTGTGGGAATGCCTGATGGCCTTCCTCACACTTTCTGGGCATCCAAGGCCTCTTCCTCCCAACATCTGTCCTTACTGACATGAGACATTCAAGCATCACACTGTCTTCACTCCCACCCTCACCACTGGGAGCTGCTGAGGAGGAGGAGACAAACATCCAAGGGATGCTTTGGAAGACAATACTCAGTCAGCATATAGTCTCTCTTATTTGGATAGAAGACCTTCATAGTCATTCCTTAAATATGCCTGATGGAA